CACAGCAAGGGGCTCCGCACCCTGTGCGAGGGGAGTGGGGGCAGTGGGGGGGGGGTTGGGGAGAGTGGCAGCACCCCAAACAGCCACCCTTGGTGTCACCGAGGTGGGTGACATTTGACATTTCAGCCTCCGCCTGTTTGGGAAGCCAGGGGTTGTTTGGTTTTTTTCCCCTACAGCATCCTAGGGGGTGGCTTAGAGCAAGCTGCATGTCGTTTTTGGGGTGCACAGGGAGTAGCTGAGGAGGATGCTCCCCATGCTGGGGGACATGGTGGTGCTGGTCCCCATCCTTTCCCCTCGGGGTCAGCCTCCAGCTTGCTTCATTCCACTTTGCTTGGAATTATTGGTTTTTTTCCCCCACTTTTGCGATGATTGAGCGGGTAGAAACCCTCCTGGGATGAAGGGGAGGCAGGCACAGGGGAGGGTAACTCAGAGCTTGGGGAAGAAACAGGAGCTTTCAAAAAAGGGGGGGGCAAAGCATCCCCCTCCCACAGCCCGTTTACAGAGGGGGAGGCTTTTACTCTGACCTCAAACAGCGAGATGGCACCGTGGGCTGGCTCACAAAACTCCTCCTGGAGCTCCTCTTCGAATTCAAAAAAGCATCCACAAAACCTCCGGCTGCAGCTGAGGAGATTTATTTTTGGGTTTTTTTTTTTTTTTTTCACCTCATTTTTTTAAAAAACGGGGTTCCCTGGAAAGCAGAGCCCGGGAGACACCGTGGAGGTTTGCAAACCGCAGGACACTTTGCTGCTAACCTGCAAAATGAATTTGGGGCGTGCAGTGAAATAGAAAAGCAGCTAATTACAGTGCGGCTTTGTGGTTTTTCACAACAAACACGCCTGTGATGCTCTCATCAAACAGGTAACCCTTGTCTCGCTGGAAGGAATTTGTTGCTGGGGGAAGGTGTAGGCACAAAGTCCAGAAGCTCCAAGAAAATGATTTAATCGTCCCGAACCCCCCCATCTCTGAGCTGAGTCCTTTAGGCAGGGTGGCACGCTCTTGTCACCTCCCCGTCCCCCCAGGTGTGCCCCCATGGTGACAGACCCAGAAGACAGCCTTCAGTAAGGACATCCAAGTAGCTCTGCAGGGCCAGACACAGCTGGAAGAAGGTCAGGACAGGCTGAGCCTGACCGGCAGTGAAATTGAGGTCAGCAGGTAGATGATGGGACCATGACCCCCCCATCTCTGAGCTGAGTCCTTTAGGCAGGGTGGCACGCTCTTGTCACCTCCCCGTCCCCCCAGGTGTGCCCCCATGGTGACAGACCCAGAAGACAGCCTTCAGTAAGGACATCCAAGTAGCTCTGCAGGGCCAGACACAGCTGGAAGAAGGTCAGGACAGGCTGAGCCTGACCGGCAGTGAAATTGAGGTCAGCAGGTAGATGATGGGACCATGGGTGGTCAGGCCAGGATGCTCATTTTTGTTCCTCACCACAGCTGTGGCAGCAGCAAGCCTTCAGTAAGGACATCCAAGTAGCTCTGCAGGGCCAGACACAGCTGGAAGAAGGTCAGGACAGGCTGAGCCTGACCAGCAGTGAAATTGAGGTCAGCGGGTAGATGATGGGACCCATAGGTGGTCAGGCCAGGATGCTCATTTTTGTTCCTCACCACAGCTGTGGCAGCAGCATCTTCAGGTGTTTTTCATCCTACCTCACTGCTCCCCTCAGTGACTACAACCAAGGTGGCCCCAACGTCAAGGTGAGGACTCACACGTGCCTCCTCCAGGAACAGTGAAGCACGATGGGGTTCAGCCTCTGGCTTTCTCTCTGCCATGGACTGCTCCATCAACAATGGTAAAAACTAGGTGAAAAGGAGAAGGATTGAAGGTGTGATTTAATCTCTGTGCCCAGCATTCACCTGGAGCTACATCTGCAGCCACAGCTCATTTCATTTTGAGCCCTGCCTCACGTTTGTTTCTCTTGGCAGGGTTGAGTCCACGTTGGTCATTGACCTTGCCAGCCTTCCCCAGCCAGCTTGTGGAGCTGACCCCTCTACAGCGCTTAACACAATGTCCCCGTGTCCCACAGGCCACCACCACAGTGTACGTCACCATCCTGGATGAGAACGACAACGCTCCTGCCTTCCAGCAACAGCTGTATGAGGTGACCCTCGACGAAGGTCCCGACACGCTCAACGCCACCCTTGTCACCGTGCAGGCCCTGGACAGGGACGAGGGACCCAACGGCACAGTCGCATACGCCATCACCGAAGGCAACATCTTGGATACCTTCCACATAGACAGCACCACGGTCAGTAAGGATACCAGCCCCATCCCAGACGTGTCCATATCCCACCCTCTTCACTCCTGGTGGCTCTCCCCCTGCCTTACAGGGAGAGATCCGCACGGTGAAGGAGCTGGACTACGAGATCAGCCACGGGCGCTACACCTTGATTGTCACCGCCACTGACCAGTGCCCCATCATCTCACGCCGGCTGACGTCGACCACCACGGTAGGGAGCTGCCAGTGGGGTGGGTTGCAACACCACAGCTTCTTCGGGATTAAGGAGTTCACCCTCGCATGAGCAGTTTCACATCTCCTTCCCAGTGGTCACCAGTCGCTTTTCCCAGCTGCGGCCAGTTTGCCCAGTTGCTGTCACCCCACTCCCTCATGGGAGTTGCAAAACAGGGATGTGGGCAAGGGACATTTGTGTGTTATTTGGTCCTGCAGAGACATAAACAGAAGGCGTTCCAGAAGAGCATTATGAGTTTTTTTAGATGTCCCCTTGGTGCTTCTAGCTTGAAGGGCCAGTAGATAGCAAAGCATTGCTATAGCATTAATTCCTGCTTCATCTTTATCCTCTCAGATTATTTATCTGCTTTTCAAATTCCTTTTTGATTCCTTATATGGAGGTTATTTAAAGCCGTTAGTAATTTTTGTTGTTGTCGTTGCTTTTCTCTATAGCTTTTCCATTTTTCCTGGACCATGGTGACCTCAATTTAGTGCACTGCTCGAAGCGTGGGGAGGGCAGGCTAGCAGCTCCAGAGCAAACATTTCACATGAGCTGAAAATACTGATTATTTTTGTGACTAAAACAAAAATTTGACAGGTTGTATGGCAGATGTTGTCCATACCCAGATTAACTTTGAGGTCTGCAGGTGGAAGGGATCAGTTAGATCTTTTACCTTGGCTTCCTGTGGTGGACCCGATGCCTCACCCAGACATCAAGCCAAGGGTTTTGTAGATCTCCAAAAGGAGATAAGTTCTCGTGTGCCAAGAAAAAGAGAAACTGAAAGGGACCAGGAAACCACTGTGGGAGATTTCCATGGATAAGATCTGTCCCCACAAGCCTGGCAGTGCTGTTCTCTGCGCTTGGCCAGATGGGAAGCCTTCAGGTCTGTGCCTCTGATACTGCTGGAGATGCCTTCCTGGCCCAGGAAAACTGCAGCGGAAACTTGGAGACCTGGGATGTAACTGCTGGCAGGGAAGGTTGCAGCTGTTGGTGTGCTGGAGGCAAAGGCAGAGCTTTCCCTGCTCTTGGCCCAAGCAGAGACATGAACTTGGAAACCCCTTCAGAAACAAGTACCGAAGCTAGAAGGGATAGGAAACACCCTCCCTTCAGGGCCCAGGGAGTTTGTGCTACGAAAACATAGCTTTTAGGAGGATTTTAGTTTAGTGATTATTTAAGAACCCTAGTGATGGGAAATCCATCATCCCATTAAGGCGTGCTAGTGTTTGGTTTTGCCACTGCTAGGAAATGGAACAGAGACTCAGATACACTCTTGTAAAGATTAGGTTTATCCTGTAATGAATGTCCATCTGGTGGATTTTGCTGTCCTTTAACCCAGGAGGTCAGAAAGGTCCTCATTTTCAGTAGCTTTCTCATAACCACCCGTACCACCAAAGCTCAACCTTTTATTAGCCACTGGAGACTCTCCTCCTCAGGCAGGGTTTCTCCACTGTGCAAGTTCCCTGAAACCTAGCAAGGGGATAACCCTCTTTGCATGGTATAGAGCTGTATAAATATCTTCTGTGTAGTGTAACTCAATCAAAAAACAAAACTCGAGTTCATTGGATCCCCAGCTACACCAGCAACCCCGTGGTCTACTCTGTCCTAAAATAGTTGATGCTTTCCCCTTTCGGAATCTGTAGGATTGACTTCTAGTCAGCTAAGTCACTAGTCACACATCTTTTTTTAAAGTTTACTCAGTATTAGGAATGAAGCCCTTGGTGGAGGAAAAGGAGTGAGCAAGTGTGCAGCTGGCTGCAGAGACCGGGTCTCTTTGAACTCGTGGCTTTGGTGGTCAAACCCATACCTGTGGTTTTTTTAGTCTATCTAGCTTGGGTTTCAAGATGTGAATGTGGAGAACATCTGTGTTGACTTCTCCATCATGATGTGCTGATGTTGAAAAAGATGCAGCTGGAGTTTCATAGTGTCATAGTGTTTGAGTCCCTGAACTGCGAGCTGGATGTTTGGTGAACCCAACATAGTCAGAAATACAGGAGATATAGGAAGCGTTTTGAAATGTCATCCGTCCATGGCTTCCCATGCTCATGACCAGTGGGCTGGTCTCCCCTTCCATCCCTCTCCTCTCACTGCCCTCCACCATCTCGCCATGACCACAGGTGCTGGTGAACCTCAACGACATCAATGACAACTGTCCCACCTTCCCACGGCCCTACGAGGGCCCCTTTGATGTGACAGAAGGGCAACCTGGCCCACGGGTCTGGACCTTCCTGGCCCACGACGGCGACTCGGGACCCGGTGGGCAAGTGGAGTACAGCATCATCGCCGGGGACCCCCTCGGTGAGCGTGGGGACCTGGGGGCATCACTTCTCCTTCTGGCTGCCCCATGGAGGAACCTGGCTGGAGGGCGGGCGGGCGGAAGTATTGCAGAAAAGCCATCCTCCCTCCCAGCGCTTCTGCGAATTCAGCCTTTCGACACCAGGAAATCCTGTTTTGAGCAACAGGAAACTTAACCTGTTCGTGGCCAGGCAGGGGGTGCCCGGGGGCTTGTGCAAGGGAGGGGGCAAATCTGCTAAAAACAATG